AGTTATGAAAGCTCAGGGGATGGTGAGAATAAATGACAGAGTATCTGACAAGTATGTGTGAGTATCTTCACAGATGTTGGCTATACCCAGGTTTAGAAGAGAAAGGAAGATTGGCTTAGAAAAATAAGAGGAGGATGGACTGGCTGAGGAGGGGAGGGGTGCACAAGAATAAATATGGTCTACTTGAAGCAAACTGGGGAATTAGGTTTTGGAAAAGAGATTGGGTGTAGGTAATCATTTGAGATAAGAGAAAGGGTGTATGGCCCGGCGCGGTGGCCAGAACTCTGGGAGACCAAGGAGGGTGGATCAACTGAGGTCAGGAGTTTGGGACCAGCCTGGCCAACATGGTGAAACCCCATCTCCACTAAAAATACACAAATTAGCCAGGTGTGGTGGTGCGCCTATAATCCAGCTATTCGGGAGGCTGAGAAAATTGCTTGAACCTTGGAGGCGGAGGCTGCAGTGAGCCGAGATTGTGCCACTGCACTCCAGCCTAGGCAACAGAGTGAGACCCCCATCTAAAAAAGAAAGAAAGAAAAAAGAAAAAGAGAAACGGTGTACTTGAGATTCCATAAGGCAGAACCAGGTTCTGAAAGATCAGATAAGCCAAGGAGAAGAATTCTCATTATCCTGTCAGCAGTATTAAAAAAACAAAACAAAACAAAAAAACTCACTGGTTTGATTAGCAGGGGATTGATTGACTGATGCAATAAAAACCCTCAGGGACAAAACTATAAAACTTAGAAAGCTGTATAGAGTTCCTCCTCACTGAGGCCAAATATCAAATATGAATTATCTGGAATTGTTCCCTGACCTCCCATCTGTGACAGATTCCTTAGGCAGTTATCCCTACTCTTGGTTTTTCTTTCCACAGATAATGGAATGAACACTTCCTCCAGCAAACGTTCTAGAAACTAACAAGTCAGGCATTATTTTCTGCTAAGGAACAAACACATTCTTGAGTATTAGCTTGAAGGCTTCTTTCTTGTGACATTGTCAATATACACCAGACTCATTAAGAAAAAAAATCCCAAACCTGAAGGAGCTAGAGGTGTTAGGCTCTGCACAGGGGACTGGAGATAAAACAAGATATTTATCCAACCAAGGGCAGGGTGATTAAGCATTTTCTGGTAGTTCATTAAAAATGGAAATTACAGGCCCCACTCTAGATTTCTGGAATCAGAGACCCTGTGGAGAGCCTTGAGTTTTAATAAACTCAGGTGGTTCTAATGCGTAATGAGCATTTGTTAAGCGTTGTACTAGATTAATTGTGTGAATATGATAAGAAACTTCACAGATGCCTTCCTGATGGTGTGAGGGCGGGGCTGAGGGAGGAACTGAACTGATAAAATCTGGTCAGTCTCCACTGTTCCAGCTTTTTCCCTAAAGGAAATACCTTGGTCGGGCGTGGTGACTCATTCCTGTAATACCAGCAGTTTGGGAGGCTGAGGCAGGCAGATTGCTTGAGCCCAGGAGTTCAAGACCAGCCTGGGAAACATACTGAAACCCCGTCTCTACAAAAAGTACAAAAATTTGCCGGGTGTGGTCGTGCAGCGCCTGTAATCCCAGCTACTCAGGAGGCCAAGGTGGGAAAATCACTTGAGCCTGGGAGCTCGAGGCTATAGTGAGCTGAGATCGCGCCACTGCATTCCAGCCTGGGCGACAGAGCAAGACCCTGTCTCAAAACAAAAAAACAAACAAAAAGGAAATACCCAGGATTGCTACAAATAAAGTAAGTGAGATTTCCTCTGTAGATCATTTTCTTAATAATTGTTTCATTAGATTTCTAAACTTGATCTTAGAATCTGTGTGTGTATCTGTGTGTTATCAGGAAAAAGCCTGAAGAAAAACAATTAGGAAAAACAAAATAAGGGTAGACAACATGCTGGGGACTTAATTCGTCAATTTTCCTTTGTTGTTCCTGTAAAAATATTTAGTCTCTGGCCCTCTCATTACACCTTCAATTTTTACTAGTTTGACATAAAATATCTTTTATGGAGTGCATGGAGTATGTCAGATGTAGACACAGGACATCTAAAGGACTTAGTTTCTTATGGATGGAGAGTGACCCACAAGTGAATGTGTTCCTAGAAAGAAAATCACTTAGCTACAAAGAAAGTAAAATAAGGAGATGAGTAGTAGGAAGGTATTTCAGATTGAATAGTGATGGAAAGGTCTCTCTTGGGAAGACATTTGAGCCGAGAACTGAAGAGAAGTAAGAAGAGGCAGCCAGAATTGCAAAAATATCAAAGAACAGCTTCCTTGGCCATGGAAGTGGGAAGGGCTGTGATGAATCTGAGGCAACTGGAATTGACAGTGATGGGGGAAAGCTATAGTGAAATCAGCTGAAGGCCGGAGGCCAGATTTTATAGGACTGGGATAGCCACTTGGATCTTACTCTAAATGCCATAGAAAGTGACCAAAAACCTGCTCCCTTGGTTTTGGTTTCAAAACAGTATTCTGGTGGTTGAGCAGAGAGGAGTTGGAGATGGGCGAGGAGGGCAGGACAGAATATAAATTTGGAAAACAATAGTTGAGTTGGTGAAAGGAAGGCTTAACCTGTGGCTCCAAAGGAATGGGTTTGGGGGAAGAGAGCCATTGGGTTGAGATCCAGAGCGGCTTTAGATATGTTAATTTTGGGTGCTCCTTATACATTCTATTGCAAATATGTTAAGAATTGGGCAGGAGATTGAAATCAGAGAGTGGAACTTAAATCTTCAAAAACGAGTAAGATTACCTAGGGAGAGACCAGGACTGGGAGACCAGAACTCAACCTTGAAGCACCCCAAGATTGAGAGGTTCAGAGAATGTGGGACCAGAAAAGGCCACAGAGAACAAGACCAGTCAAGTTAGAGGAATGTCAGCTGCAGACTGATGAGAGAAGAAAACATTGTAGGAAGAAGGGCGTGGTCAGCTATGTTAACTGCTGCTGGGAGCTCAAGGAAAAATTTGAATTGGTGAATTTCTTTGTTTGGTGACTCAGTGGAGTCATCTGGGACATGTTCAGGGACCTAAGATGCGGGAAATCAGCAGGATTTCAAAGACCTAAGCAGAACAAAGGATGAAAGCATATTCAAAGACAAGGAGAGAGAAAGTATTTGCAACGCATATAATCTACAGGAACTTGGATCTATAACTATCTCTTAAAATTGATCCCTCCCCCAAAAAAGGCCAAACCTGATGGAATAAACTGAGAAATAGGCCTGAACGTAAGAGTTGGCAGCAAAAGAAATGAAGATGATTTTTTAGCATAAGAAAATATAAAAGGCTTAGACATATTAATAATAGAACGGATGGAAGTTGAAAATATATGAATATACTATTTCTCACCCAGCCAGTGGGCAGTGATCCAAAAGTTTAACATCTTTTTAATTTGTTGCTTGGAGTGCAAAATTGTACAACTTTTGTGCTTGGGAAACTGACAAAACATGTCAAAATTATGGATGCATTCATTCACAGTCCCATTTGCGGGGAATATGCCTTTTCAGGCCAAGATTCTCAACTTTTTGGAATCAGTACTCCTTTGCACTCATTATTGATGAAGGTCCTAATAAGCTTTTGTTTATGATTGTCAGTATCTGTTTACTGTATTAGAAATTTAAAACTGCATTTTATAATTATTCATTTAAAATAATATAAAACAAGCCAACCACGGTGGCTCACGCTTGTAATTCCAGCATTTTGGGAGGCCGAGGCGGGTCGATCACCTGAGGTCGGGAGTTCGAGACCAGTGTGGCTAACACAGTGAAACCCCGTCTCTTACTAAAAATACAAAAAATCAGCCGGGTGTGGTGGCCGCGCCTGTAGTCCCAGCTACTCGGGAGGCTGAGGCAGGTGAATCGCTTGAACCCGGGAGACGGAGGTTGCAGTGAGCTGAGATCCCACCACCGCACTCCAGCCTGGGTGAGAGTGAGATTCTGTCTCATAAATAAATAAATAATAAAAACAAAAACCTTTTTCTGAAAGAAAATTTCGAGCTAAGTGGCTTTTTTATTAATAGAGAAAGTCAGAATTACAAAGGACTTAGGAAGAAGGGCATTGGGGGCCTTCTTCTTGCCAAAGACGGGCACAACGTTGACAAACGCCGCTTGTACCGCATCCGCGGCTCAGCCCGGCCTGTCTTCTTCCCGTGCGGCCACCTGAGTGAGAGTCTGACCTGTCGCTTTCCCAGCGCGGCCCGGGAACCACGGACTTGGCCTCCCGGCATGGGGCCTGCGGCTTCCCGGGCAGTCGGGGCCTCCACCCGGCCCTGGTCCAGGGGCGCGCCTGCCAGGAGCACGATCGATCTTCCGGGGCGAGGCCCCCCAGTGGCGCAGCCGCCGCCACCCGGAGACCGTCTCCGGGCGGGTCCCCTGCAGGGCAGGAAGCTCCGGGGCGCGGACCCAGAACTGCAGGTTGGCAACTGAACCGCGCTTCCGGCTGCCGCCACCGCCAAGATGGAGTCGACGAGGAAGGAGCCGGGGCGCTCGCGTCCGGACCGCGGGCTGCGCCTCACGTCACTCCTAAAGTTTTATTTCGGAAACAAAATTATTGAGAAGGAACGAGGGCGCTCCCGTCCGGACCGCGGGCTGCTCCTCACGTCACTCCTAAAGTTTTATTTCGGAAACAAAATTATTGAGAAGGAGCCAGGGCGCTCCCGTCCGGACCGCGGGCTGCGCCTCACGTCACTCCTGAGATTTTATTTCGGAAACAAAATTTTTGAGAAGAGTGGCTTGGTTTCACTGTTTTGCAAATCTGTTTAATGGATGGCTTCTTAGAAGAGCTGTTTTTGGCCCGGCGCGGTGGCTCACGCCTGGAATCCCAGCACTTTGGGAGGCCGAGGCGGGCGGATCATGAGGTCAGGAGGTCGAGACCATCCTGGCTAACAGGGGTGAAACCCTGTCTCTACTGAAAATACAAAAATATTAGCCGGGCGTGGCTGCGGGCGCCCGTAGTCCCAGCTACTCCACTCGGGAGACTGAGGCAGGAGAACGGCGGGAACCCGGGAGGCGGAGCTTGCAGTGAGCGGAGATCACGCCACTGCCCTCCAGCCTGGGGGACAGAGTGAGACTCGGTCTCAAAAAAAAAGAGGAGCTGTTTTCACTTCTTCGCTTCCCCATTCCTTCTGTTGCAGTGTGTTTTGAGCCGCCTTGTAGTCCCAGCTACTCCAGAAGCTGAGGCGGGAGGATCGCCGGAGCCCAGGAGTTCACCAGAGGCTGCAGTGAGCTGTGGTCACCCCACTGTACTCCAGACTGGGCGACAGAGCAAGACCCTGTCTCTCAAAGGGAAAGTATTTTAATAACTTTTTCAACTAGTTGTGGGTTTTTTCTGTAATTCTATCAATGAACTTCTTTCGTACGATGCCTTTTGAGCACTGTTTTCCCCCAGATGACTCATAGGTGCGTGCTGTTCTTTGTAATTAATTTTCAGCCTATTGCTCAAGATCGTCAGAAGACCTGAGGGAGCCCCGCTGATCTTAGAACACTGGCCTAACTCTGTCTTTTCCCCAAGCAGGCAGCCGCCAGAAGTTTGTTGGATTTGAGGAGTCCAGAGCGCCGACCCGCTCTGCCTGTGTGGACTATTTCCTTGGATCTTTGTGGACCCTGAAGTTGCCAAGTGTGTGTGCCTGCTCCAGAAAACAAAGGAAGCCACCATTGTTTCTCATTCCGAGTGCAGGGAAATATCTCAGCAGAAGCAAACAGTCCAGTCTTCAACACCTACCAGGATGTCCAAAAGGCTCAGCCCTCAGTTACAGCACATCACGGAAGATGCCTGTTGTGAAACACACCTGGAACCGATACAGCTGTTCTGTGATGTTGACCAAATCACACTCTGCAGCAAATGCTTCCAGTCCCAGGAGCACAAACATCACGCGGTGTGTGGGATACAAGAGGCTGCTGAGAATTACAGGGTAAGAGTCTCGCAAATCCCAAAACCCTCTGGCCAACTCCTATACGGATGAAATGGACAGATATTCCAGTCCTCCAAAACCATGATCTTAGTCGATGTTTATTAAAGAATATTAGATAAGTTCATTGAACCTTCAACCTAAAGGCTAAGAAAATATATACTCAGAGTTGTTGGCTGTTGAACTCTAAGGTTAGGAATCCAACTGTTGTAAATCAATGATCTCACCTGGAATTCTGTGCTTTCTCTCTAGAAGTTATTCCAGGAAATATTGAATACATCGAGGGAGAAACTTGAAGCAGCTAAAAGCATATTGACTGATGAGCAAGAAAGAATGGCGATGATTCAGGTCAGTGCTTATCGTGATTCTTGGGGGAAAATTACCAGTAATGTTGTCAGAAAATAGTGTATCATAAACAAAGTCAAAAGACAAATCACAAAGCAGGAAAAACATGTGAAATCTATAGGAAGGAAAAGTGCTAATATCTTAATGTATAAAAAGCTTTTTAAAGTCAGTAAGAGGCTAGGCGCGGTGGCTCACGCCTGTAATCCCAGCACTTTGGGAGGCTGAGGAGGGCGAATCACTTGAGGTCAGGAGTTTGAGACCAGCCTGGCCAACATGGTGGAACTCCGTCTCTATTAAAAATACAAAAAGTAGCTGGGCGTGGTTCCACGAGCCTGTAACCCCAGCTACTCGGGAGGCTGAGGCAGGAGAATCGCTTGAACCAGGAGAGGAGGCAGAGACTGCAGTGAGCTGAGATCACACTACTGGACTCCAGCCTGGGCCCCAGAGCAAGAATCCGTCTCAAAAAAAAAATAAATAAATAAAAATAAATCAGTAAGAAAAAGACTAGAAACTTAATTTTAAATAATGATCAAATAAGAGTTTGCAGAAAAGAAAGTGTAAATATATTTTAAATACATTGAAAGAATCTGAACTTTTGTTCATGGTAAGAGAAATACAAATTATATTGTGAGTAAAATGGCATTTGCAATGCTATTTGCAATGATCAAAAAGATTAGTGACACCATTCGGAACAATGACATAGGAGAAGGAGCATCTCTTGTACTTCTGGTTGCCACATAAATTCTGAAACCCTTTAAAGAGCGATTTGAGAATTGCTATCCAGATTTGAGGGTTCACCACCTGTTAGGCACATTTCACTTCTAATTTCAGACCGTGTCTTCATACTTAATCTTATTCTGTGCAAGGTATCCCCGATTCTGGGTCTTTTCTTTCCCTCAGTTTTTAAAGGAAGTAAATGCCTAGTTGGGGAAGATAGTGGAGGAGAATTGCCTGGCTAAGCAAGAATTTTTCAGCTAATCCCCCCTTTTTTTTAAGTTTCAAGCACCACATGTTCAGCAAATACTGAGATCTCACTGTTTGCCAGGAACTATGCAAGCTGCTAGGGGCGCGTCAATGGAAAAAAAAAAAAACCAGTTCTGATTTTGTGGAACTTAAATTCTAGTGGAAGTAAACAAAATAAGTTTAATGTGTAGCGTTTTTTGTTTTTTTTTTTTGAGACGGAGTCTCGCTGTGTCGCCCAGGCTAGAGTGCAGTGGCGCGATCGCAGCTCACTGCAAGCTCCACCTCCCGGGTTCAAGCAATTCTCCTGCCTTAGCCTCCCAAGTAGCTGGGACTACAGGCGCCCGCCACCTCGCCCGGCTAGTTTTTTGTATTTTTTTAGTAGAGACGGGGTTTCACCGAGTTACCCAGGATGGTCTTGATCTCCTGACCTCGTGATCCGCCCGCCTCGGCATCCCAAAGTGCTGGGATTACAGGCTTGAGCCACCGTGCGCGGCCTAATGTATAGTATGTTACATGGGAAATGTTTAAAAAAATTGTTTTAAGTGAGAAAGAAAGCAATGGAGTGAGCTTTTAAATAAAGTGATCAGAACCTTGTTATTCAGAAGGTGGCACCGAAGGAGGTGAGGGATTGAGCCATGCGGTTATCTTGGGGAGGAATATTCTAGGCAGAGGGAAGGCCTGGAGGCTGCCATGTATCTGGCTGGAGCTGTGTAAGGAAATGGGAGCTGTAGGTGATGAGATCAGAAGATGGTCAGTCATTCAGGGTGGCTAGCCTTCAATGAAATACAAGGTTCAAAACCACTGGAAGGTTTTGCACAGAAGACTGACATGGTTTAACTTCCATTTCATAGAAACATGCTAGCTGCCAAATGAAAATAGACATTAAGGTAGTAAAAGCAGAGGTGGAGAGACGTGTAAAGGGACTGGCAGTAATTAGGGAGAGATGATGGTGAGCTGGGGGACAGGTAAAGAGGTGGTGAGAAGTGGTCAGGTTCTTGATAAATCTTGATTTCATTGAATCTTTTTTTTTTTTTTTGAGACGGAGTTTCGCTCTTGTTGCCCAGGCTAAAGAGCAGTGGCTCGATCTCGGCTCACTGCAACCTCCGCCTCCCGGGTTCAAGCGATTCTCCTGCCTTAGTCTCCCAAGTAGCTGACATTACAGGTGCCCATCATCATGCCCGGCTAATTTTTGTATTTTTAGTAGACAAGGGTTTCACCATATTGGTCAGGCTGGTCTCGAACTGCTGACTCATGATCCATCTGCCTCAGCCTCCCAAAGTGCTGGAATTACAGATGTGAGCCACAGCGCCCGGACGATTTCATTGAATCTTAAATAGCTTAATAGAGATGTTACTTAAGCATCTCTAAGATGACAACTCCCAAATATATATCCCTAGCCCAGACTTCCAAAAGGTAGTAGACTTCACGTCCAGTTTCCTACTTACTATCTTTACTTGGATGTCTAATTGACTAACCAAATTCATCACATCCCTAACTAACCAAATTCATCACATCCCTAACTAATGCGCACGCCTCACTTCTGGAATCCAGCCCTGCCATAGATTCTCTCTCTATATTTTGATAATTCCATTCTTCCAGTTGCTTAGCCTGAAATTTTTGGTGTCTTTCGTCCATGACTTCTTTTTTTCCCCACACCTCTTACCCAAGCATCAGCAAATCCCATTGGCCCTTTTCCAATGTCCTGGTCTCCTCCTCTGTGTTGACAGAGGCTGTAGCTTCCTTAGTTTTTCCTTATTGATGAACATTTCTTCGTCTGCATTTTATGTTGTAAAATTGTGTTGATGTCTTGGCTGATGTTGACTCAAATTCCATTTGTCCTTTGGGTTTATTGCTTCTGTACTTTATATTTCCTTGTCTTTTTTTTTTTTGAGACGGAGTCTAGCTCTGTTGCCAGGCTGGAGTGCAGTGGTGTGAACTCGGCTTACTGCAACCTCCGCCTCCCAGGTTCAACCGATTCTCCTGCCTCAGCCTCCCAAGTAGCTGGGATTACAGGCATGTGCCACCACGCCTAGCTAATTTTTGTATTTTTAGTAGAGACGGGTTTTCACCACGTTGGCCAGGATGGTCTCGATCTCCTGACCTTGTGATCTGCCCACCTTGGCCTCCCAAAATGCTGGGATTACAGGCGTGAGCCACCGCGCCCGGCCTTCCTTGTCTTTATATTGGGGTTAGAGATGGAAAGAACACATTGTGGTCAATGTAAGAGAGAGAGAGAGATATATATATAACTATTATAATGTGTGTGTGTGGTGTTAATCTATCATGTTTAACCTGAAGTCTATCATGTCTATATGAGGAAGGAAGAGGAACAAAATTTTAAAAAGATGATTGAGTCTGAGTATAGTATGAGACTCCGGTTGTTGGATGAAGAGTGTGAGCTGAATCTCCAGAGACAGCAAGAATGCACGTCTGACTTGAACTTGAGAGAAGGCCTTCTGAATCAAGTGATCCAACTTGCCACAGAGCTAGAGGAGATGTTCCAGGAAATGCTGCAGGTGAGATGTTGAAAACAACATCCTCTTAATATTTGAAAAATGAGAAAAAGAAGAGCTGAACATTATGTCAATTCCGGAATAACATATCCAGTGACAACCACACATGTATTAAATGAATTATATACCTACCTGGCAACTCTATTTCTATGAATTTATCTTCACATGCATATAAAAAGACATAAATAAAGCACAATATACCTATAAATATATTTGTACACATATTACTCTATTATACTTCAAATATACTTACACACATAGAAAAAGATACCTGGATAAGGCAACACTGAAACTGAGTTTCAGTTTAGAGCCATGGTTTAGAATTCTCCTTTGAAGCCAGATGAATGGAGTTCCTATCTGAGTCAGCTGTTTACTGGCTCCTGGGTGGCCTACGACCTGCTGCTTAACCTTTGACTTGGTTCCTTTAGCTGTAAACTGCACATAACAATGGCCCCTAATTTATAAAATTATTGTGAGATTTGAGTGAGGTAATCTGCTAGGCTTATTAAACAGTGTCTTGCTTCATGTTAAGCAGTTGATGAGTAGGAAATACTACAATTATAACATTTATTCATAGCAAGAGGTTAGAAACACCCTGTATTTATCAATAGAAGACTCACAAAATGTGGTCTGCACATACATGGAAGAATACTCTTCAGCATGTTACGATGGTGTCACGGCTCTGTGTATATGAATAAGGAATGTTCTCCAAGAAAAAAGTAAGTTGTCGGATTAGTAATCAAATATAATAAACTATCACTTATGTTTATGTTCTTTCCCCCTAAATAACATACTCACGTTGCTTATGTGACTACCTATGTAAAGTATACTTGGAAGGATAAAAAGAAAACCAATATCAGTACATAATTATGTATTTCTTATTAGTTAATCTATATAACTTAATTTTAATTGATTTCAAGTTAATGAAAAAATAGGGAACCTTCTGAGCAGCCACAGAAAAAACATGAAATGTTTTAGGTACATGTTAATTTGAGTAAGGGCTGCATGTACCCACATCTGTGTCAGCTTAAACATACATAATGGGGTCAAAGAATCCACTGTCTCTTGAGAGGAATCCTGCTTCAACAATATCATGGTCTTGCCTAATTATGTCTATTCCTGGGGTAGCAGGCAGAAAAGCAGGTTTGTTTGGTTTGGTTTGGTTTTTTTTTTTTTTTTTCTTTGAGACAGAGTCTTGCTCTGTTGCTCAGGCTGGAGTGCAGTGGCACGATCTTGGCTCACTGCAACCTCTGCCTCCCGGGTTCAAGCAATTCTCCTGCTTCAGCCTCCTGAGTAGTTGGGATTATAGGCGCCCGCCACCACCCCTGGCTGATTTTTGTACTTTTAGTGGAGACCAAGTTTCACCATGTTGGCCAGGCTGGTCTCGAACACCTGACCTCATGATCTGCTGGCCTTGGCCACCCAAAGTGCTGGGATTACAGGCGTGAGCCACCGTGCCCAGCCAAAAAGCAGGTTTTTAAAGACATGGTTGAATGAATCAATAGGAGAAGTTACGGAACTCTTGTTCCTGAACTTGAGGTTGTTAAATAGTAACAAAGAGATGCTTCTGCAGAGACTGAGCCATGTGGGGAGAGAGAACATGAAGAAACTGAAGGAGAGTGAAGCCAGGGTTTCTGAACAGATCTGCAGCCTCCAAAAACTCACCACGGAGCTTGAGAAGAAGTGTGGGGAAGACGCCTTAGCATTGCTCAAGGTAAGATGCTGGGGAAAAGAAAATAAAATTCATTCCAGTATTTGAGAAATGAGAAGTGGACAGTACTCATTAGGGGTTGCTGCCAGAACACAATATCCAATGATCTTCAACTACAAAAGAAGACTGCACGACTATTTTTTAGCTGCCAAAAGCATTAGGAATGGTCGTAGCTTTGTGGTATAGTGTGGAGCTGCTTATGAGATTAATTCTCACCTTAAAGCAGTAAGTTCGGATTGAGATGTGACAGTGTGGTTAATTGATTAGTCAAATTATGATACATCCATACAATGAAATATTCTGTAATCATAAAGAATAAAACAGCTCTATAGGCACTACAAGAGTATCTTCAAGCACTCAAGTGAAAAAGAAAGATGCAGATTGCTTTTCGTTTGATCTTTCGATAAGAAGTATATATACACACATATACATGTGTGCCTGCTAACAGTCACAGACTTTCTGGCAAAAATAAATAAATATATAGTCATCTGCGATGATCTTGAAACAAGGGTGAGATTATCTGCTATGGTCTGAATGTTTGTGTCCCTCCAAAATATTTATGTTGACATCCTCTTCCCCAAGGCGATGGTATTGGGAGGTGGGGCCTTTGGGTAGTGAGTGGGTCCTGGGGGCAGAGCCCCTGTGAGTAGGATTAGGGCCCTTATAAAAGAGGCGGAGGAAGACCTTGCGCCTTCGGCTTGTGAGGCTGGAGATGGAGGCTACCTAGGAGGGCTGGAGCCCTCAGCGGACACGGAATCTGCCGGTGCCTTGATCTGGAGATTCCCGGCCTCCAGAACCGCGAGAAATGAATTTCTGTTGTGAAGAAGCTACTCAGTCTGTGGTAAGTATTTGCATATTTTGAATTTTGTACAGTAACATACGTTTCCTTTTCAAAAAGTGGGTTATCTTTTTTTTTTAGATGGAGTCTCACTCTATTGCCCAGGTTGGAGTGCAGTGGAGTGATCTTGGCTCACTGCAATCTCTGCCTCCTGGGTTCAAGCGATTCTCCTGCCGCAGCCTCCCGAGTGGTTGGGATTACAGGCGTCCACCACCACACCCGGCTAATTTTTGTATTTTTAGTAGAGATGGAGTTTCACCATTCTGGTCAGGCTTGTCTCAAACTCCTGACTTCAGGTGATCCACCCGCCTGGGCCTCCCAAAGTGCTGGGATTACAGGCATGAGCCACTGCGCCCGGCCTTACTGTCTTTTTAAGACTGTCCATATCCCTCTGCTAGGCTTATAATTGCAAGTGAATGCGCTCATCTGGAAAGCGTCTGCAGGTAAATCCTTAGGAAGCAGCTCAGTTCTTGATCATGCAGGCAGGTGTGGCTCTGCCTGCCTCCCACTGCCCTCCCAGCCTGCTCAACTCTGGCCACCCCCTGCATGGAAAGCAGATAGATGCTCGCGTTCTGAAGACTGAGAAATGGTGGCTCTGAATAAGATTGCTGGGGTGAAGGATAGAAAACATTTTCCTTGGGGATACAACAACATGATTTCATGCATTTTTCTGACTTTTTCTGTTTCCATGTTAGAATTTGTTCATCTGATAACTAGCATTATGAGGCTGAAGACATGACATGGAAATTGAGTTTATTGTAGAGGATATTTTCCTGGGCACAGATTGCAAAAGACGGCTCAAAAACCCAGTAGTAACCCGGTCTCTTTTCTTTCCCTTAGAATGCAAAATACTCTTTAGAAAGGTGAGTTTTCATTTTGGATACAATTGGGTCAGAACCAGAGTCCAATAAGATGTTGATTGGGATAAGGAGAGTGCATTTGCTGGCAGGAGGTAATGGGATCCATCTACTAGACCAAGGGGTCTGTGGTCTGTGCGGATGACTGAGGCTGTCCTTTCCCTTCAGGAGCAAGTCACTGCTGCTTGAGCGTCTAGAGCCCGCTCATATCATAGACTTGAGTTTATGCCACATAAGAGGATTCAGCAGCATGTTCAGAGTACTCCAGAGTAAGTTGACACGTGTGACGCTCACACGGCTCTGTTCTGTATCTGAGAATCAGGTCACCTTCCTGCCATAAATGGAAACAAATTCCAGTAGTTTAAAAATTTTAGGCCAGCATAGGGGGTCACTCCTGTAATCCCAGTACTTTGGGAGGCCAAGGCGGGCAGTTTGCTTGAGGCCAGGAGTTTGAGACCAGCCTAACCAACATGGTGAAGTCCCATCTCTACAAAAAACACGAAAATTAGCCAGTTGTGGTGATGCACGCCTGCAGTTCCAGCTCCGTGAGTGGCTGAGGCAGGAGAATTGCTTGAACCCGGGAGGCGGAGGTTGCAGTGAGCTGAGATCACACCACTGCACTCCAGCCTGGGCAACAGAACGAGACTCTATCTTAAATAAATAAATAAAAATTTTAGGAGACTGGAGAGCTGAATATGTTATACATATTAGATAACGATCAAGAAAATAACTGTATGATCTTATATGAAAGCTTTTCCCATGCAAATTCTTTTTTATTTATTTATTTTTTTGGACACGGAGTTTCACTTTGCCCAGGCTAGAGTGCGGTGGTACGATCTTGGCTCACTGCAACCGCCCCTTCCTGGGTTCAAGTGTTTCTCCTGCCTTGGCCTCCCGAGTAGCTGGAATTACAGGCATGCACCACCACACCCGGCTAATTTTTTGTATTTATAGTAGAGACGAGATTTTACCATGCTGGTCAGGCTGGTCTCGAACTCCTGATCTCAGGTGGTCTTCGTGCCTTGGGCTCCCAAAGTGCTGGGATTACAGGCATGAGCCACCATGCCTGGCTGCAGATTCTTTACCAGTTTCCCAGCCATGAAACATGATTGCAGGCAGATTCCACTGCTTAAAAATGTAAACTTCTAGGGGGAGAAATTCAGCATGTATAACAAAGGGTTTGTATCTCCTGTCCTTATAGCTTTACCTTTTCCAGAGCGTCCTATTGATGGAATCCTACAGTGTGTGGCTGACAGCATACTGCAGTTGAGATACAGAATGTCCAGACTGCTTCATGTATCAGTAGTTTGCTCCTTTTTATTGTTGATAATATCCCGTTGTAGAAATATACTATAATTTATTTATCTTTTGCAATTCTATGGACATGGGTTGTTTCCAGCTCTGTGCTGTAAATATTAGCATGCAGGTTTTTCTGTGGGCATAGCTTCACAGTTCTTGATTGACTATCTAAGGGTGAGATTGTCAAACTTGTTTTCCAAACTACCTGTGCCATTTTGCCCTCCCACCAATAATGTGCTAGATTCAGTTACTCTATATTCTCACCAGCATTTGGTATTGTCAGTTTGTTTTACTACATCCAACCCAATAGATGTGTAGTGGTATCTCATTTTAATTTGCATTTCCAGAATGACTAATGATGTTGAGCATATTTTCATGTGTTTATTTTCCCTCTATCTCTACTTTGGTGAAATACATGTACAAACCCCTTTTTAAAATTGGGTTGTATGTTTCTTGAGTTTTATAATTTCTTTATATATTCTGTTTAGCAGTCATTTATCAGATATGTTTTGCAAATATTTCCTCCCAGTATGGTTTATATTCTCATTTTCCTAATACTGTCTTTTGAAGTGTAGAGGTTTTGCATTTTGATGAAGTTCAATTTATCAATGTTTTTCTTTTATGATTTGTGCTTTTTGTGTCTTATTTGAGAAATTTTGCCAAAGCCAACAAAGATTTCCTTCTAAAAGTTTTATGGCTTTAGGTTTTACGGTTTTAGGTTTTACATTGTGGCCTATGAACCATTGAGAGTTAATATCTGTATACAGTTCACAGAATGGTGCAAACCCTCTCCTCCCCCTACCTTTTATTTTTATTTTTTGTCACATGTGTATCCATTTGTTCCAGTTTCATTTGTTAAAAACACTACCGTTGTCCATTCAATTTACTTGGCCCCTTTGTTGAAAATCAACTGGTATGTGTGACCAGATGTATTTGTGACTCTAAGAGGTCTATTGGTGGTTGACTCTATCCATGTGACCAGGTCTATTTGTGACTCTAAGAGGTCTGTTGGTGGTTGACTGTATCCATGTGACCCTGGTCTATTTGTGACTGTAAGAGGTCTATTGGTTTTGACTCTATCCATGTGACCAGGTCTATTTGTGACTGTAAGAGGTCTATTGGTGGTTGACTCTATCCATGTGATCAGGCCTATTTGTGACTGTAAGAGGTCTATTGATGGTTGACTCTATCCATGTGACCAGGTCTATTTGTGACTCGAAGAGATCTATTGATGGTTGACTCTATCCATGTGACCAGGTCTATTTGTGACTCTAAGAGGTCTATTGATGGTTGACTCCATCCATGTGACCAGGTCTATTTGTGACTCTAGGAGGTCTATTGATGGTTGACTCTATCCATATGACCAGGTCTATTTGTGACTCTAAGAGGTCTGTTGGTTTTGACTCTATCCATGTGACCAGGTCTATTTGTGACTCTAAGAGGTCTATTGGTGGTTGACTCTATCCATGTGACCCAGGTCTATTTGTGACTCTAAGAGGTCTATTGATGGTTGACTATTCCTTTGCCAATAGCACATTGGCTTGAATGATAACTCTGTAGGAAGTCTTGGAAGCAGGTCCTGTGCATTCTCCAAATGTATTCTTTTTCGGAATAGTTTTGGCTACTGTAGGTTGTTTGCTTTTCCACATAAATTTTGAAATCAGCTTGTTGGCTTCTTCAGAATGGACCGCTGGGATTTTTATTGATATTACATTGAATCCGTACATCAATTTGGGAAGAATTGACATCTTGACAATATTTAGTGCTTTCAGTCCAGGAATACAAAATATCTCCATTTATTTAGGTCTTAGATTTCTCTCATTAGTGTTTTGTCACTTTCAGCATACAAATGTTATATGTATTTGGAGATGTATCCCTAAGTATTTTATGTTTTTTAGTACCGCTGTAAACGGTATTTTAAAATACCAATTTCTAATGGACATTTCATTCATTTCTAGTTCATTACAAGTATATAGAAATGGAATTGTTTTATATATATTGACATTTGTACCCTATTACTATGCAGAACTCACTCATTAGACAGTGGATTTCTGTAAATAGATCCTTCGGGGTTTTCTACAAAGTCATGCAGTATATGAGTCTAGGTAGCTTTATTTCTGCCTTTCCAGTCTGTAAGCCTTTTCTGTATTTTTCTTGCCGTATCGTACTGGCTCAGACCTGCGGTGTGTTGGATAGAAGTGATGAGAGTGGACACTTGCTTATTCTTGATCTTAGGAAGAAAGAAGACATTAAGTCTTTACTGTAAATTCTGATACAGCTGTAGGACTTTTTGTTGTTTTGTATTTTGTTTTTTTGTTTTTTTGTTTTTTGAGATGATGTCTGGCTCTGTCACCCAGGTTGGAGTGCAATGATGAAGTCTCGTTCACTGCAACCTGCTCCCAGATTCAAACGATTCTCCTGCCTCAGCCTCCCGAGTAGCTGGGACTACAGGCGCGTGCTACGACACTCAGCTAATTTTTGTATTTTTAGTAGAGACGGGGTTTCACTCCATTGGTCAGGCTGGTCTCAAACTCCCAACCTCGTGATCCGCCTGCCTCGGGCTCCCAAAGTACTGGGATTACAGGCGTGAGCCACCGCGCCTGGCCCTAGCTATAGGATTTTTTTATGACTGCCTTTCATCAAATTGAGGATGTCCCCCTTTATTTCTGGTTTACTAAGAATTTTTATCATGAATCAATGTTGAATTTATCAAGTTCTTTTTCTCTTGAGATGTTCCTGGTTTTTCTTCTTCAACCTTTTCTTATTGTTGTTGTTTTTGAGATGAGTCTCGCTCTGTTGCCCAGGCTGGAGTGCAGTGGCACGATCTCGGCTCACTGCAACTTCTGCCTCCCAGATTCAAACGATGCTCCTGCCTCACCGTCCTGAGTAGCTGGGATTACAGGCTGCCACCAGGTCCGGCTACTTTTTGTAATTTTAATAGAGATGGGGTTTCACCAGACTGGTCTCGAAGTCCTGGCCTCAAGTGATCCGTCCGCCTCGGCCTCCTGAAGTGCTGGGATTACAAGCGTGAACCACTGTGCCCGGCCACAGCTGTGCATTTTTCCAAAGATAATTTGCATTTGTTTCTGCCAGTCTCCTGGAAATATTGAGAGTCTCAGACAATTTATTTAAAATTCAAGACATGTAGCTTTTGAGACCACCCTAATAATGTGAATTGGCCTTCAAATTCAGAGATTTAAGTTAATTAAATTTACTGCAGTCAAATACTAGAAATTAAGTTGGATTCCACATTATAGAAAGTAGGAAATAGGCCGGGCGCGGTGGCTCAAGCCTGTAATCCCAGCACTTTGGGAGGCCGAGACGGGTGAATCACGAGGTCAGGAGATCGAGACCATCCTGGCAAACATGGTGAAACCCCGTCTCTACTAAAAAATACAAAAAACTAGCCGGGCGAGGTGGCGGCGCCTGTAGTCCCAGCTACTCGGGAGGCTGAGGCAGGAGAATGGCGTGAACCCGGGAGGCAGAGCTTGCAGTGAGCTGAGATCCGGCCACTGCACTCCAGCCGGGGAGACAGAGCGAGACTCCGTCTCAAAAAAAAAAAAAAAAAAAAAGTAGGAAATAAAGGCTTTCCAGGTTTATGGCTTAGACAGCTGAAGCAGTAAGGGAGCTGTGAACTCCCTTAGTGGAGACTGCAGAGGGCTGGCCTTGAAGTTCCATTTTGGGTGTCTTATGTTTGAAATTCCTGTGTTTTTTCCAGCTGGTATTTGGCTGTTTATAGAGTGAGTCATAGACACAGGGAAGGTCTTTAAAACTGAAGCACAGTTACCTGGACGCAGCGAAGGAGAATATACTACTTGAAAGGGGTCCCAGGACCAAGCCCTCTGAAAGATCATGATAGTTAGAGGTTGGGCAGAAAGAGGTGAGAGGAACAGAGTAGGAAGAAGGTATATTTGTGCAGGTATGAGGAATTCATTGAGCCTGCTTGTTCTCAGCGTCAGTTGCTGGAGGGTCCTCACAGGTGTTCTGTCCTCCACTGGAGAATTCTCTGATGTACTTACTGCCTGATGTCCAGGGCCTGTTGTCCGCAGTTTCCAGGCCTCTATGTTACCCTGTGGAGATATTTAAGATGTGTAGAGTACATCATTGGGAGGGCCATGAATGAGTTGCTGCTAGCTTACTCCTCCGTCTGCTCCAGGCTTGGAGACCTGTAGAAGACCAGGGTTGGGTCCCAAGTGATATCTGGGTGGAACTTGGCACCAGGACAGTTTGACAGCCTCTGGGGTGAAGGTGTTTTTTGTTGTTTGTTTTGAGATGGTTTGTTTTGAGATGATGTTTGTTTTGTTGTTTGTTTTGAGATGTTGTTTGTTTTGCTCTGTCGCCCAGGCTGGACTGCAGTGGCATGATCTCGGCTCACTGCAACCTCTGCTTCCCGGGTTCAAGCAATTTTCTACCTCAGCCTCCCGAGAAGCTGGGATTATAGGCGTCCGCCACCACACCTGGCTAATTTTTGTATTTTTTAAAATAGAGATGGGGTTTTACCGTCTTGGCCAGGCTGGTCTTGAACCCCTGACCTTGTAAGCCACCGTGCCTGGCCAGTTGAAGGTGTTTCTAAACCTTCCTTAGCCCATTCGTCTTTGTTTTATTCTTCCTGCTCAGGCAGACTGTGTCCCTTTCCATATCTTATGGACTTTTTCCTCCACGAGGTCCATATTGAAGTAAAGTTTAGAGGTTCCTTTTTCTGGACCCTCCCAAATTGCCTCTCCCGTGTCTGCGCCTGGGGCTTGTGCCCACTCAGTGGGAAGCCCAGGTGTGTTAGAATCACATCTCTGGCATTGGCATTGGTGAACTCCTACGTTAACGAGGGTTTTCTCTCCTGGCAGGACATTTAACGTTGGATCCTGAAACAGCTCATCCCTGCCTGGCCTTATCTGAGGACCTGAGAACTGTGAAATTGAGGCATGGGCAGCAGGATGGGGCTGGCGACCCAGGAAGATTGGACTTCAGTGCCATGGTGCTGGCTGCGGAGAGCTTCACCTCAGGGCGGCACTACTGGGAGGTGGACGTGGAAAAGGCAACCAGGTGGCAAGTGGGCATATTCCACGGCTCTGCAGACACGAAGGGCAGCACGGCCAGAGCTTCCGGAGAGAAAGTCTTGCTCACAGGGTCGGTGATGGGGACGGAGTGGACCCTCTGGGTCTTCCCCCCTCTGAAAAGGCTCTTCCTGAAAAAGAAGTTGGACACAGTTGGGATTTTCCTTGACTACGAACACGGGCAGATATCATTCTACAATGTGACCGAGACGTCCCTCATTTACAGTTTCTCCCATTGCGCCTTCCAAGGAGCTCTCAGGCCTGTGTTTTCCCTCTGTATCCCAAACGGAGACACAAGTCCAGACTCCCTCACCATCTCCCCGCAACACGGTCCTTCTTGTGATGCTGCTGTTAGCCCTTAATCTTCTGTGTGCAAACTCCAGCACCACAAGAGACCAGAAAGTTGGAGAACAGGACATTGAAATAATTTTTGTAAACTAACCCAATAAAAAGCATTCCGGGAGTCGGAGCCTGATTTAATATCCGGAGCCGTTGCATTTATGTAACTGTCAACACAAATGTGTGTAGTGGAAGAGGTTGCACTTAACTTGAATCATGAATGATAATAACAGGGAAATCCGACACTAATGAGAACAAACGCATATGCATCATAGGGTTGGGGAATTAGAGAAGAAATATAGTCTGGGGTCGTTAGAACTAGGTTAGGAACTCGATCTATTTGTGAAAACATTTGCAGAATCAGGTCTAATCCGGAATGAAAGCAGGACTTCAGATGTAAGCATGCCACCATGAGGAGCAGAGACATCCCATTACTGACAGTGAGTATCAGGACCTCCCAAAATTTTTATTCCAAATAGAGAATAATAATATATGTAGATATTTTATGTGGATAAGAAGGAGGAGTTGTGGAAAATGTGAATATTTTAAATTTTTATTTTTCTTTTTTTTTGAGATGGAATTTCGCTCTTGTCGCCCAGGCTGGAGTGCAGTGGCTTGATCTCAGCTCACCACAACCTCCCCGGGTTCAAGCAGTTCTCCTGCCTTAGCCTCCCAAGTAGCTGGGGTTACAGGTGCCCACCACCACGCCCAGCTAATTTTTGTATTTTTAGTAGAAGCGGGGATTCACCGTGTTGACCAAGATGGTCTCGAACTCCTGACCTCAAGTGATCCACCCGCCTCGGCCTCCCAAAGTGCTTGAATTACAGGTGTGAGCCACGGCACCTGGCCTACCTCTTTCTGATAAGAACAATTTGATTTATTAGAAGAAGCCCAATAGGTAATGCTTTGAATCAGGTAAGTAATATCAATGATGCCTGGTGTTCACCCTGTTTCTCTATTTGGTGATCTACTGGCAAATGCTTTCCCTTACATCCTTGCTCAGGGATGGTTGTATAATGCTGAGAAAATAAGTATCTACACAGGGACTTTCATGTTTAAGTTTTATTATACTTTATCTCCTTTAATATTTTTAACAACCTATGAGTGTGCATTAATGTTACTATTCATATGTGGAAACTGATGCTCAGAGAGCTGATTTGTTTTTTCTAATGTTATTTAGCTGTTACGTATCTAGTAACAAGGAGAAGGAATTAAATCCAGACCGTCATCAGATCAAAAAGCAAGCTCTGCCTTGACTCCTCTCACACAGGGATCTGTTGTAATGAGCATGACCAGGTGGAACAGGGTCCGGTTTTACTCAGATGTTCTGAAAATGCAGGTCAGTTCCCACAGAAGATAGAAGCAGCCTATCAGTTACACTGCCCTCTGTAGGTGGGCTCTGGCTTGTGGAGGCCAAGTTCTTTCTTTAGGACCGGCAGAGGAGGAAGGAACGAAAGGCAAATGTCAGAAAATTGCCTCTGTTGACTCATGGAAGTCAAGGAAGATGTAGGATCTTACTTATCTGTCTTTTGGGGCAACATTTTTGACGATTTCGAATTCTCAAAATGTGCTTTTAAAAGATGTGAATAAGTATATTCTGGTAAAGATACACCCTTGGAAAAGTCACAGTGTGTCTTTATGCTGAATCACAGGAAGAATTGGGGGAAGTGGCTCTGATTGGAAAAGTCAGGGTCAGGTTAGATAAGTGAGCCAAAAGTGAGATAATTATTTGAAACATTGAGACGAAGAATTCAGAGCAGGCCAGGCACGGTGGCTCACACCTGTAATCCCAGCACTCCGGGAGGCTGAGGCAGGTGGATCACAAGGTCAGGAGATCGAGACCATCCCGGCCAACATAGTGAAACCCCATCTCTACTAAAATACAAAAAATTAGCCAGGCGTAGTGGTGTGCACCTGTAGTCCCAGCTACTCAGGAAGCTGAAGCAGGGGAATCACTTCAACCCGGGAGGTGGAGGTTGCAGTGAGCCGAGATTGCACCACTGCTCTGTACTCCAGCCTGGCAACAGAGCAAGACTCTGTCTCAAAAGAATTCAGAGCAACGACTCTCAAACCCTTACGTAATTTTTAAAGAAAAGATAATGATGACTCATGAAGGAAAATGTGAGATGATTTAGCAATAAATGTATGATTAATGTTCAAAACCCAGTAATACACATCTCCATGTCTAGCTACTGCAAATTAAAAGCTGAAATAAATACTTTAGATCAAACATTGCTATACAACCCCCAACATAAAAATAAAATTGTTTATAATAAGCTAGAACATATGATAAGCCAAACTAGTGGTTCTCAAAATTGCCCCAACTCCAGAGGGAACATTTGACAATGTCTGCAGCAGTTTTTTAGTTGTCACCAGAAGATCAGTGCCACCGGAATCTAGTGAGTAGAGACCAGTGATGCTGCAGTGTATCCTACGGTGGACAGTGCACCCGATGCACAAAGATTTATTCGGCTCAAAACACAGTAGTGCTGAGGCTGAGGAACCGTGATCTAAACCAACAATAATAGTAAAAAACAAGAGTAGCAAACTTTGAAAACTCAAATCAGAATGTTGTTAAACCATTATCTGCATTCTTTCTCCAGAGTACAGGAATTCCTAATGTACCCATTTAGTGAGGGCTTTGCAAGTTATATTTATAACTTGGCACGATCTTGGCTCACTGCATACTCCACCTCCCGGGTTCAAGGGATTCTCCTGCCTCAGCCTCCCAAGTAGCTGGGATTACAGGCGTGCACCACCACACCCAGCTAATTTTTGTATTTTTAGTAGAGACAGGATTTCACCATATAGGTCAGGCTGCAAATTATTTATTAACAGCTAATTATCTTAGAATATTGAATTTAAGAGAAAGAATAAATTAATATATTGACCTGACCTTGTGAATATCATAATTAATAAGTAGGTTATTAGTTAAATACTTTGGTCATAATTCTATACATTTTCATCCGTTTTGTTTGTTTGTTTGTTTTTGAGATTGACTCTGTGTTGCCCAGGCTGGAGTGCAGTGGCACGATCTCGGCTCACTGCAACCTCTGCCTCCTGGGTTCAAGCAGTTCTCTTGCCTCAGCCTCCCGAGTAGCTGGGATTACAGGCACGCCACCATGCCCAGCTAATTTTCTGTATTTTTAGTAGAGATGGGATTTCACCGGGTTAGCCAGGATGGTCTCGATCTCCTGACCTCATGATCCACCTGCCTCAGTCTCCCAAAGTGCTGGGATTATAGGCGTGAGCCACCACGCCTGGCCTTTCATTTATATTTTTAAAAATACATTCATAATGTCCAAAAACTCTAGTTCCAACTAGTTCCACCTCCTGCAAGACCCCCTTTGAACCTTCCAACCCAGACCCTATGTCTTCCCCCTGTTTCTCTGTTCTGACACACAGATAAGACTGTCGGAGTTGTGTTCTTATGACAGAGAGCCTGACTTAGAGCTTTGTTCGACCAACCGGGTTTTCGGATGATCTTCCAAGGAGTCCAGCAGTCAACATTTCTCATCTTTTGAGCAAGAAATAATTACAAATTCACCTTCACCTATTCTTTCTCCTTCTCTCTTGCAATCAACCAATTTTTTTCCTACCCCGTATTGCCTCCAAATTCCTGTGGGCTTTTAGGAAATCCTCACCCGGAGATCAGGGCTTGGCAAACTTTTTCTGTAAAACTAGGTAATTAATATCTTGGACTTTATTGGTCATACTGTCCCTCTTGAAACTAACTCTGCTGCTGTAGTGCATATACAGCCAGGACAGTGCTTAAATAAATGCATGTGGCTCTACTCTTCCAATAAAACTTTATTTATAAAAACAGGGGCCACAGTTTGCCTGCCCCGGCTATAGATGATTCCTTTTCTCTTTTCAATATTGAAACTATTCCTCAGTCAGGACCTTCTAAAATTAACTTTTAAAAAGCTAACGTAGGCCGGATGTGGTGGTTCCTCCTGTAAGATGCGCACTTCAGGAGGCCCAGGCAGGATGATACCTTGAAGCCGGGACTTTGCGACCAGCCTGGGCAACACAGGGAGACCCTGTCTCTACAAAGGATAAATTAGCTGGGCATGGTGGCTTGCACCTGTGGTCCCAGCTACAGGGAAGAGTGAGGTGGGAGGAACACTGGAGCCCAGAGTTTGAGGCTACAGTGAGCTATGATTGCACCATTGCACTCCAGCTTGGACAACAGAGAGATGTCTCCAAAAAACCGTATGTGTGACTGTATCTCCTGGGTTTTTGTTTGTTTGTTTGTTTTGTTTTTTTGTTTTGAGACAGAGTCTCGCTCTGTCACCCAGGCTGGAGTACAGTGGCGTGATCTCGGCTCACTGCAACCTCCTGGGTTCAAGCAATTCTCCTGCCTCGGCCTCCCGAGCAGTTGGGATTACAGCCATGTGCCACAAGGCCTGGCTAGTTTTTGTATTTTTAGTAAAGACCGGGTTTCATCATATTGGCCAGGCTGGTCTCGAACTCCTGAACTTGTGATCCGCCCACCTTGGCCTCCCAAATGCACTCTGGTGTGTGTGTTGGTTTATGCTATCCACTTCTGTGTTTAGTCCAATCTGCTTTCTGTCTCTTTCTGCCTACAGGCCTTAATCGCTTCCATATTGCTAAATCCAACTGATTTTATTCCTTTTTTTTTTTTTTTTAAGATGGAGTTTCGTTCTTGTTGCCTAGGTTGGAGTGCAATGGTGCGATCTCAGCTCACCACAACCTCTGCCTCCCAGGTTCAAGTGATTCCCCTGCCTCAGCCTCCCAGGTAGCTAGGATTACAGGCATGCACCACCACGCCCAGCTAATTTTGTATTTTCAGTAGAGATAGGGTTTCTCCATGTTGGTCAGACTGGTCTCGAACTGCTGACCTCAGGTGATCCGCCTGCCTTGACCTCCCGAAGTGGTGGGTTTATAGGCGTGAGCCACCATGCCCGGCCACTTCCATTTCATATTACTCAAGCTCTCAGAAGTAGTCAATGCTATTAATCTCTTTATCCTCAATAAATTCTCCATTGACTTACAGGACGCGTGCTGTCCTCATTTTCCTACCCTTTTGCCAAATGCATCTTTTTCCCTTTAAACTTGTAGTAAATACTTCCTGTTCCTTCCTAGGATCTCATTTCTCATTCACTTCTCTAAGTGAACCTC